TATTCTACTAGGCTTGCACAATGATACGTGCAATCTTTGTACAGCCGAAAACAACACCGGTGTTGTTCAATTATTTATAATGAGTTTTGGCTTTCTCGCATGCAAATCGTTGTACAAATCATCATTGTACGTGCCACATTGGTGTTTCTCTGCAATAGTAATTTACGGTTAAAAAAAGCACAGCTAGCTTGTCTTCACTGTTATTTTATTATTATTATAATACCCTAACCGAAACCATTATTCGACGAGGATTCCGGGTTTTTCAAATTCCTGCTTCATGTGATCGTTTTTGATGTGGTATATTCGACCGTAGACTGGCCAAAACCTATCCAATCAAATTTCAAGGTTAATGTATAATGCATGATTGGAAAAAAATATGAACTTGCAAAAATATCGCAGTACTGGTTTTTATTTTCACTACTCGTTTAAAAAAAAAATCGTCAGCAATAACTGACAAATGTCTTGAACAAAAAATTATAATAGATAAACAGAACGATTGGATTTGAGTATTTACAAACATCTATGCGATAAAAGAAGTGCGGATAAAAGCGGTACAGTTGTGTGATGGAAAAGTAACATTTAAAGGGCAAAAGAAATTGTATAAAGCTAGTGAGGTCAGCACTGTCTTATAAAAGTGACAGTCGGGCGTTCACATAAGAGAGACGAAAAGAACATGGAAGTGAAATGAGAACGTTGTGATGGATGTGGCGCTATCGCCAGTATGAATGATGTTCGCGGTTTGCCTAAACTGATCGCCTTAAAAATGCATCTCTTCAAATTCATTTTACTTAATACCGTTTGTTCATTTCAGTCCATTGTCAACATTGGAATTTCGTAACATGTAAAAACCGAAAATCATGAATTTTAATTAGATCCTCGGGCATAATGATTTCTTACATCGTAGTAGAATTGATAAAATCACAAGGGCCGCCGCTAGCAGTTTACACGTAAGCGTGTCATCTGATAAACAGGATTGGCAATAATTGGGTTTTTCTTTTGGGTATGCACAAACATTATAAAATCTATATTTTAGGGTATATACCGAGAATTTGTTAGACTTAAAAACATCGTCTGTATATTTTTCCATAGAATAGAAAATGTTCATGCCTTTACGAGACTCGGCTTGCGCTTAGAATAAATGCTTGCAATCGACACTGTACAAATAGAACGTACGCCTGTTCATAATAATACAACCTAACCGGTTTTACCGATGGTAAATAATTGAAACTGAAATAATTTACAATTCGCCCATTGTGTAGTCAAAAAGGATGTCGTCTGTGTATGTAATATTGCCTATACTCGACCCCTTCAAACTACTGTTTTAACTTAGTATATTTGTTATTTGATTTATTTTCTACAATCGTATTTAATATTATTACCTTCGCCGGATTCATTTTCAGTGTAAATAAAATCCATAGCGCCTCGTTTAGTATTCCATGGCGGTTCATGGGTGTCCTTTTATCGAAATTTTTGGTACTTTATTATATACTTGCTGATGTCATAATCAATTCCAGCAGTTATTATGAAACATGTGGACAAAACGTGATGGCTGAAGTTCGTTTTATGTACTCGTTTTGCATATTACCTAGAAGTTGTAAATATTTTCGAACGGTCGTCCTAGGTCACATCGTCCTTAGTGTGCTAGGCAAAATACCGTGTAAATAATACAATATTTATTATGCTGAATTTTTTTTGTTTGATAGTTTGGTCCCCTGCCAAAAACAGGCGCCACAGTGGTCCGAAAGTGAATTCTAGTCTAAAAAATTGTGAACGAAATATTATTTTCTGAAATCAAAATAACTGCCAAACTACAATAACTGAACATTCAATAGCAAACAGAAACGCCCAGGTACACATATGACCTCGACATTTTATATTATGCCTAACAAACATATTAAAATTAATAATTCATAGTTATTTTGGTATTTTTTGCATATTTAAAAATTCATTTTCGGACCACTGTGGGGCCTATCAGGCCTATAATTATAAACGTGTGGTGTAAATTGGGACGTAGACAAGAAGCATCAATCATACAAATCGTGGTATGGTATCTAACATTCACACAGTAAAAGGCTGGAGAACAATTCTGGATCTTACTTTCGATATACCCACAGCAGGCTAAGGAACAAGTTTCTAGCCAAACCGACTAGTTTTCAATTGCAGAGTTGGCGAAAAAACAGATTGGGCTCAAGCCCGGAAATTGTTTGGTAATTATGTTTGTTTAATGTCTGGTGTTTAATATAACAAACATTTAATGAGTTGTTAAATTGAAGGTATATTCCCCTGGTTTTGTTTTTTGCTTAAATAAGAAATTACTAATAATTCCGGTCAATGATTTCTTATCGAAAGGAAATTAATTGCATTTTCTGTTGAGTTAACAGTTGGGAGTTGTACAAGTAAAACAGGGTAAAATAAAATAATTAATAATTTTTAGTTACAATTGAAAGATTTGAACTAAGTTAAAGTATTATAAAACAAAATAAAATTGAAAATGTTTAGTTTGACAAAGTAAATGCAAATGACAATATAACGAAAAAAGCTTGTGGAATGCCTCAGCCGAGAGTTAAATCCCTTAACGGTATTATCGGTATAAACGGCAATACTACAAAAACGCATTTAGCAAGTCTAATATACCAATAGAGTGGTTTCGTGCACTATGCTTACATTCAGGCAAGGGATTTTATTTTTTCGTTTTCAGTATTTTACATTAGCAGTTGGTACTCAATGTAAATGGATTTAAAAAATCCGGATTTCCACAAAAACTCCATTCAGGCCATTTAAAAGTCCTATGTTAAGTCTCAATATGTTAAATATATTTGTTGAACGTCTGCTAGGCACTGAACTGGTGAAAAGACAAGATTTAAAATATATTATTCAGTATCTTTTTAAACGTATCGTTTTCAAATAATTTCTATGATATAGACTTGTATTTGTATTCATATTTAGACATCTTCAGTAAGTAGTAAAAATATGGGATTTTTAGTACTCATAATTAGCATTTAAGTATCCTTACTAGTTAGTGTCAACTAAAAAACAACCCTTAATAATTTAACGACCGCTTTTTTACACTGACAAATATTATTTTAAATAACTTTCGTCAACTCTGAAAATTTTTTTTTTCATACAAACCATTAACGTAGAACAAAAATAAAAACATTTAAGTTGTTGTATCTTTTGATTGTGAACAAAAATAATTTATTTTATCGAATAGAATGTTACTTTAATGTAGTTTAGTTTATTTTATACCGTTTCGCCCTGCTACACCCTGTACAAGTGTTATTGGATGAATACTAATGGCCTTCTAAACTAAAGTTAAACAAGTAGTCGATTCGTTTGCATTTCGTCGGATGCAAATATTAAAATCTGTGTTAAATGTGTGTCGACACTTTCAGTTTGAACATAAGAATATATTATGTCGTATCGTATATTAGAGTATTTTTTATTACCCAACACGCACAAAAATTTACTTTTGCAAAGTAAATAAGATAATATTATACTTGAATGCTAGTATTCCTATTCGATATTGCAATACGTACATCGTGTGCAATTAAAAGTTAACGGGAGGATAAGGAATAATAGCTTTTAACACAAAATGTTAGTTGTCTGCATTTCTTATACTTTTATTATTTTTATCCTCAGCACATATTGAATAAAAATACAAATTAAGCACCTACTCTTTGATGAATGCTTTTTATGAACAATAACAACACAGTACAACAAAATTTGACCTTAAAATGAGAACCAAAATACGTCATTTTTTTCCGTCGAATATGAATTAAATTTACACTACTTTACATTGTTTAGCTTCATTAGCATGTATAAATAGTTGAAATAAATTATTTTATTTTGACTGTTTAATTCTTTATATATGTATATGTTTTTGCTGAACTCAGAACTAGTCTTGGAATTAATGAATTTAAAAGTTTTTAAACGTTTTTTTTTTCAAACAAAAGAAAATTATGTTTGCTTCGCTGACAAAATATCATGATTAATCATTGGCTTAAGTTTTTAAGCATTATAACGTACTTATAGCTTGAAATTCGAAAATGTAAATTGTTTTTTGCCCGTTGAATTCGTTTATAGTTGACTGAGTTAATATTTTTCATAGGTCAATTGTAATCCCGTCAACGTGGATTAGGTTGGATTAGATTTGGTCCAACACTGAATGGAAATATTTGATTATTGTTTTAAGTACTATACCTTCCCTGATAGCATATAACTAAAAATAGTTTAAAAATTAATTCTTCAATCTTTCCCCCGAAGAACATTGAACATGGCTTATGATCAGCTGATTTTCTGTCAATCGTCTCTTATCAGTTGTCCAGGAATTATCTTTGTCCCATCTCATCCTTCACCTCCCCTTTCTTTCACCTCATTTATCTGCTTTGTGTCACAAAAGCATCACGCTAATTTTCGACAACCACCTGCCATAAGATATATTTATGTCAAAAGTTATAAATTATTATCAAGGGGGAAAATCGCATTGGCCAGTCGAGTTTTCGTGTAACAATCTATTCAGCGATCAAGGACTAGTCTTCAATAAATAATCTACAGCAAATAATTGTTTTATTTTTGTGTTTTCTTGGAACAACGACTTGGCAGAAGGATTAATTATCACCTCTAAACCAGTTTTAGTCTTCATTAACCTCACCCGAAATGACGGCTAGATATCAACTTGTTTTTTTTATTACATATTCATTGGCCATGGCGAATGTCTGGTACGTTCAGTGTTGTTTCATTGTCAATAAGCTGGTGCCAAACATTTTGTGCCTAAATAAAAAACCGTGTGGGTTTGATTTGTTTTATGAACTTTCAAAACATTTGCAGAGAATTTTCGAAATAATATTTTTACATTCGACCGTCTGTAAGTTGTTTTGTTTTGAAAAATGTGTTTGTTGTTTTGTACATTTAAAATAATTTAGTTTTTGTTTTTTATCTGATTACATGTTTAAACATTTTATTGTCCTATCTTGGAGGTATTTTTGGTTTTCTTAAGTGTGATGAAGAACAAACTGTCTAAAGAATTGGGCTTTGTCAGTAATAATTTCTTGGTTTTTGTAGAATTATTTTTAAACTATAGTTTAACGAATTTTTTAACAATCTCATTATTTCCTCAGAATTATTACTACATTTTTAATCTTTACTTACATTCTTTTTCTGTCAATTGTGTAAAACGCTACAGCTATTATATAGCTCCAGAAAGTAATGATTTACAATAAAAGGGGTTTAAATTTGTGTCCTGGCCCACTATAAAATATATTAACGACCGGACCGAAAAGTTTATGTCATTCAAAAATCAAAACCTATCAGTTATTTTTAACTTAATTATATATTATGCTTTCGTTAGGGAAGGGGTTTGCCGAATTTTTAGCCTTAAGGTAACACAAACCCAAACCATTTACCATTTGTGGTCTACTGATGTGCTACTCAAGTAGGTAAATCAGTGCCAGCATAAAGTTAAAACTTTTTTGTACCAACGTTCTCGTTTAAACGATTTTTTTTTTGTTTTATCAAGATGGTGACAAATTATTTGAGTATATTATGATTAACTTTTTATTTACAACTATAACGTCACAGACAGACGACGATTTCACTCAAAGCAGAAAAAGGTACCCTTCAAAGTGATTTTAAAGATAAAACACACATCTATAATAAATTAGATACTAACTATAATGCTTAGGTCGTTAATGAATGCAAACATTTATTTTCTTAACTTAACAACTTTTTTCCGATTGATAATTTGATTGAACACAAGCGAGGTTCACTCGGAAATCTTGTCCTCTACATTATTTTTTAATCTTGTGTTTTATCTCTGAAATCACTTTGAAAGGTAGGTAGTTTTGTTACCATTGAAACATTTATCGTAATTGAAACGACACTTTATATCGGGGAGGGGCGGAACAAATTAGCGCTTTTCAAAATACCTACATTAATTTTTTGGTTAGAGGTTTGTTGAAATAAGTACAAACCTAGCTATTATGATCAGCTGATTTTCTGTCAATTATATTATCTGATCAATTGTCCAGGAGTTGTCGTCTTCCCATCCATTCTCATCCATTCCCTAGTATACTCTCACCTTCCTATCACCTTATCCTCTGCTTTGCGTCACTAAAGCATCACGCTAATTTTCAAAAGCCACCTGCCGTAAGACATATTTTTAAGTCAAAAGTTATATATTACTATCATTGCCATGTATATGTTTTATCTCTTATCTCTAACTGAATGTGAAAGTGTAACGCGAAAATGGCGACATTACATTTCTTGTAACCAGCCCGATGACATTTCCGTATGTTGAAAGTAGCACGAATTTTAAGATTTAAGGTTTTTTAAGGTTATGAGAATCCCAAGCCCCCCCCCCTCCCCTCCAAAAAAAACAAGATGATTAACATTTTTTTGGTGTTTTTTTTTCCGGTTCATCAGCAACATCTCACCGACGACGATTGCCGTTTGACCAGTGTCGTATGCGGCACCGATAGCGGTTCTTCACGCGCGGACGGTGGACAAGAGCCGGCGGCGGCGGCGGCGCGGGGACAGGCACTGCAGTCGCGGCGGCTGCGGCGCCCAGGGCAGCCGCGGAGGCCGAAGAGGGAGGAAAAGCGGCCGAAGGTGGTGGACAGCCGCGGCGGAGTCGGACGCGGTCGGGCCTGACGACGATACGCACAGTGTTGTGGAAAGTGTTCAAAACGACCGTCGCCCTCGGTGTGTTTGCAGTAGTGTGCGCGTTCGTTTGGTACACGATGGGTCTGCCGTTCCTGTTGCAAGTTATTGTGGTCGCGCTCATCGCGTACGTGGCCAGTGGCGGTTACAAATTCCTCTACCTGTTGTACCGCACCGCTCCCAGGGATATCAAGTGAGTGAACCCCTCGTATGGCGCCCACCCCTACTGTTACACTAGGGTTGTGTGCGAATAAAGACGAATCGAATAATTGGATAGTCGATTGAAATCGATTGTCTTTTTTTTCGATCGTTGTTTATTATTTATCTATTTAACTATTGAAATGGCTTGGCCTGTGCTCACTTGAAAAGGTATAATTTTAATTTATTTTTTGTATTGAAATTCACTAATTAGGTCATAAACTTATTAATTTCACCCTAAATAAGGCAGCAAATATGTTTAGACTCTCTTAGAGGAGGTTTGATTTTGTTTTTTTTTTTATATACACCTAAGCATGAGGACGTGCAAACCCTTATTAAGGAACTGGGTATAGGACATTTTTTGCAAAATCCTAATTTAAACCTTAAACTGTAATTATTAGTTAAGTAATTAGAACTATTTTTTTTTGGTACTTAGTTCATTTATTTTTCGGACTATCACAGCATCATCTTTGTCAACGATTATAAATACTTTTAACGCTTTTTTTTCGATTTCAGTGTAATTATACACTTTAATAATGTTATAAAAAGTGCAAAATATGATATAATTATTCGCTGATATGTAGAGATGTCAAAATAAATAAATTTGATTTGATGTCTAAACATGGTATGTCCTCCGCCTTCTCTCAACATATAGATACATATTAGGTAGGTACATTAACCAAAAAACAGCTTTTTTTTCATTATCTCATTTATATAAGAAACAATTTTAGAAGTTTATTGGAAAAAGTAACACACAAACTTGTGCCATCCTACAGATTTCTCCTGGTAAAAAAAAAAGTGCTGTCGAGCCAGTTCAAAAAGTAAATAAGTCATTGGCCAAATAGTGTAAACCAAGTGAGGTAGCCGAAAACCTTAATTCCTACTGGATTATCTCATATAATATTTTTAGAGATAAACATAATTATAGTTATAATCTATATTATCATACATAATAAAGAAATAGATAAGTCATTCGTGATTTTCGGTGTTCCAACTGATACAAATTTATGGCCGTATTCGTTCTAAACTTAAGAGGTCACCGTCCCTTTATCTTGCTCTCCTATATCTTTATTGTCTATGGCGATGTTACAACATTTCCAAAAATTATCTGTATGTCGTTTTTAGTGATAATATAATTTTGAAATAATTTATAATGGACCCAATTTTTTTGTCATTAGTTAGTAATCTATATTACTACTATCTATCACCTAATCTAACTTAATCTAGGCTTCTAATTTTACACAGTTATGTCATGTCGCGTTAGCAACGATCAGCGATCATTTTTTAATGTTTCCCTACATAGCTACTACAGCTGGTCTGTTTTATTATTATCAATGGCCGCATACACACGGTTAACCTACGCGTTTTCCGCTTATGGAATCTACGGTTCAAGTACATACCGATGAGCATGTTGTGTAGGATTTCAAAAGTGTAGACGGTTTTCTGTTTTCTGTGCACTTGAAACTATAAAACCTAGGTTTTTTTTTAAACATAAATCTCTAGTAAACCCATCTTGTTCCGTTTAATGATAACTACGTTCTTTTCGTAAATTATAACTAACTAGATTATCACAGATTAGATTATTTCTTTTTATCTAAACTGTGATATTTGTATGAAATTCTATGCTCGAATCTGCGGTCACACAGATTTCATCTCGAGCCATGGCCTTCGTTTACATGCCCAGTGAGCTATCTGTTTTCGTATAGTCTGTGCTTAAGCCCTTTTAATTAGCTCGCATTAAATTGTGGTTTAGAATTATTACAAACAAAAGCGTAAAATATAAATAAAAAAACATCCTAGGCACGCTTTTGTTTTTTATACTCTAAACCACCGGATTTAATTTTCTTCACGCTTGCTTAACCTTATATAGCCGGCTTATGTTATACTTTATTAAAAAACAATTTTAATGGATTTATGAAATTCAATCTTCGATTGGTAAACATTACATTTTTAATATAGTCTTTTTTTTTGTGTTATATTTGCTCTGATTATTTGATTCACTCCATTAAGTCACACAAAATGTAATCGTCATTTTAACAGCATGGAAATAATCAAATCATTATCTACCTTAAAAGATTATCAAATACCCGCTGTGTAAAATTTTACCCACTCCTGATAATATTTTATTGTTCTTTTCAACGTTCTCAAGATGGATGAAATGCAGTCGAAACAATGTTGGTTCGTCAAACAGATTTTAATTAATACCATTACTGTAATTGGGTATTGTAGTATGGGTTTTTTTTTAAAAAAATTGTATAGTCTGATATTAAAAAGTTTTTCAGCCGAGTCTGCAACCACGAAAGAGCATTTTCATGTCCCGTTAAAGTACCGAAAAAATATAGATTAGTTGTGGAATTATAATTAAAAAAAAAAAAATTACATGGAGCTTCCAGTTACAGCATAAGCCAAGGAGATTAAAAAATTATGTACAATCATGTTTCTGGCTAAAATTGTAGTGTTTATTATCTGGCCAAAAGTAACTTTACATAGTTTAATATATAGAGAATTAAACTGTTTTGAATTTATTATTTAGTTCTAATTTGAACGTTGAACGTACATCATATCTCTTATCTCCTATATCTTACCCCTATCACTCACCCCTATCTCCTGTCCTCGACCTCAACCCTATCCCACCCCCACCCCTTATATCCTACCCCTATTTCCACCTCCAACCCATCTTCGTGTGGTAACACTCTTTTGGTAACTTTTTTTTTCGGTTATTTGCCATAGCTAATTCCACCCCGTTCCCATACCCACCTTTTTTCGTTACGATCTTTTGGCAACGCTTTTATGGTAACGCTTTTTTCGGTTATGTGCCAGAGCTAAGACATGAAAATGTCAAAAAAAAATTATATACGACTGCGGTAACTTAATTAGTCAAGACAATGAGTTTGTTTCATAATAAATATTTTTCAAAAAAACTCTTTTCAAAATGTCCCATTCGATTATTATGTATATATTTACATTTTCCATTGCCTGACCCGACTGCCCCGCCTAATTTTGAAGTCATATCAGATTCGGCTATTGAATGTAAATACATTTCCGATGTGTTTAAAGAGAAAGTATGTTTATAATTTCTCGAGATTTTCAGCCGTCGAGTGCGACCTTGTATAAAAATCTTAATACAAAATATTCTATGGAAACCAGCACGCTTTGTTATGGATCACCTTAAAAAAAAACTTTTGTTTCATGTATTTAAAACTAATCGATTGACTGCAAATTAATTACACAATAATAAGCTCACAAAACAGCTTAAAAATATCTTATATCTTAAAAAAACTCGTTTTAACTTTTCTTAGTTTTATTTTATTCCAATATAAGTAAATATATTTTGCAATAATTATCGTGAAGTAGTGTTTTTTCATAGTAATTTGTAATTATGATTAATGTATTCATAAGTAACTAGTTTTTCTATAAAGTCATGGTATTAACAAATTTATTTTAAAATAATTTTTTTTTAAAACACTATTTACCTTTTTTCCAACCGTATAAAGATGTATTATAACCAGAAGACCGCCAATTGGATTACAGTTGTGGTTAAAATTTCTATTGACAGTTAAAAGCAACTCTATAAACCAATTATTTGGACGTTTTAATTTTTTAAATAATATTACAAAGAAGTGCTCTAAACGAATAATAGTAGCAAAAAGGTTTTCTGATTTTTTTTTTTATTCCCAACAGAACAGTATAGTGTTTGTGCGTGCCATTTTATCTCTAAACAGTATTAATATATTTTAAAAACGTTTTATCGAAACTGTCGAAATGTGTTGCGACATAAATCTAATATTATTATCATCATCGTTTTCAAAATATGTTATTAGTATCATAAATTCAATAACTTGTCTTAAAGGATTTTTTTCATTTTCAAAAATTTCGAAAAACATTGACGTCATCATAATTTTGGGACGACAAATGTTAAGTGTTAAAAAAATAAAAACCTAACTATTTAAAATAAACATCAAACTTTACTCATATAAGGTTACAAGTGATTTTTTTGTTAAATTGTGAATTGGGGCTTAAAAAAAATTAAAATTAAATTTGTGTTATAAATTTATATGCATAATATTATAATACACACACAAATATACTTTAAGAGCCAAAGTTGATTAATCATTTTTTTGAAAATATTTACCCATGTTTGTAAATTGCTTTGTGATCAATTGACTACAAAAATAATGAAAATTTTGGGAAAATATTTTATCTACTCAACGTTGAATATTTTCAGTGTGATGTCCAAACCGGTATGACCTTTTTAACTAACTTTGTCCGCGTTTGGAACAGGTATGTCTATTGCCACCGGTTATGGCCATAATATAATAAAGTACTATTATCATACTGGAATTATACTTGCGCTGGCCCGAGCAAGATACACGTGTGTTAACAGTAATGATAAACTAGAAACGGCGAAGGTGATCTGGACAAGTCAACTTCAGATATATGTAGTAGTAAAAAAAAAATGCTATACATTATATTTTATTGTAGTTAAGAAACGACTCGTTGTGCGCAGACAGGCTACTCTGGTTATTAAAAGTGTGATCGCGTTTAACAAAATTTATCACACCGGTTAAGTTAGGTAGTTGTTGTAGCATAAAAAAAAAATGTAATACTCAATACCGATAACCACCACCCCGAGCATAATGTTTTTTTAATAAAGACATTATCATAGATTAAATTAAATCAGATAGTGATAAGTGTAACCAAAAGTTGAAGAAAAATATAATATTTCTGTTATACAGTGTGATCAATGACATTTTATCGGCCATCGTCAATCAACTACTTGTCATCGGTATTTCTTATCAGGTTACGATATTATTGTAAATAGTGTATAATATAGTTTTAACCAATCAGTAATCGTTACCTATTTGAAAATCTATTGTTTTACTATGATGTAAATCCGGTAGTAGATATTTCTGGTTTTATATTTTAATTTGTGATATCATTGTATATTATTGTCATACTATGCTGTTAAATGTACATTATCGTTGTGGTTATTTT